TCAGCACATGACTGATGATCATGAAGATTTCCCGCCAATTTATGATGCGCCACAAGACGCCGGTCATGATTTTTCCCCGTTTTAGCAGGAAGCCGCCAGCCGCGGCTAAATTAGACGAGGAAGTTACAGTAACAATTTATACATTTTCTAATTGCATACACAAATTATATAGGACACAGTTGAAATCACCTAAGGAGATCGCCAATTTAGGCACAAATTAATAGTTTTTTTATTTCCCCTTCAATGACAAAATCACAGACGTACATGACAATTTTGCAATACCTTGAGAAACGTTTGGAAAAGAAATAGTCAGACTCAATAATTGATTTTAATGTGCGTGTTTGACCACGATGTTACTGTTTTTAAGAAACATTAGTATCACAGTTGTCAACGTTTTCAATAAAATTCCGATCTATAGATAGCTTCTAGAACTAAAAAAAGCTTAATAATATGAACAGTTTCCGTCAGCTCTACGTGCATCCTCAGCGAATTGATTTATCAAGACATATTTTGCCACTAGTAACTGCAGCTTGAAATTTTACATTTATCTCTAAAAATTCTTTAAACCCTAGGGCTTCTGAAGTGGCAAATTAAAATTGTGATGAATATTTGTGGTTTAGAATTGGGGTGCTAACAGAGCTTTTCTGGTCAATTTGGCTTTGCGCTTACGGGTTTCAATGCTGTCTCAGTAATTACATCCATTACATCTCATTCACTGCAGGGCTCATATATATTAAACCTTGTTTTTTTGTTCCGCCAAGTAAACTAACACAACAGAGAGTCTACTGAAGTAATCCTTTCCAGTACATCTGCGGGTACCTCTTTCACAGAATTATAGAGAATTACCACTCCAAGGAGTAATCAGCAACCAACCATTAAATATTAACTATGGTGTTTCATTTTTGCATTGAATACAGACCTTGAAAATGGCCATGGATGTGTCGAAAAATGCCGTGTTTGTGGCGTGGAGGCTTATCAATTGCGACCGAAGTACATAAAGAAGATTAATATCAAGTGAACGATGCTTCGACGCTGATGCAACATATGGGCTGACATAAACTAAGTTTACGGCACGTTTCGGTCATCTCAACGTCTTGGAAGAGATGGTCACCGCAAAGGTTCTGGCAAAGGTTGCAATCCTTGCGTTTTTCTACTTTTATAAGGTACAGTTACCTTCTAATCAAAAGTCAGTTTTAAAAAGACGCATTTTGGTTGTTTCTTTTTCTTGTATAACGCTCTTTTTTGTTTTCATGTTTCTGTCCAGTGTGTTCAAATTGCAAAAGGAATTACAATTGTAGGTAAGGATACTCTCGTTAAGCATGAGTTCAGCAAGATAACCCAGTGTAATTACACTTAATTTGTATCAGCCTTTACAAGAACCGTGGATACTTTTTCGCAACCAAACTTTTCAGTACATCTATTATTTTCTTGTTATTTAATATACTGATGACGCATTTCCTTTCTTAGTATAGTGATAACACGAATGACAGTTACGTACTTTATTAGTGATGTTTCGGACCCTGGAGCCCGCTGATAAAGAATGTTTATTGCTTCAACACCCAGTCACAAAGTTTGCATTTGCCGCACTAGGAAAAGCTCCTTTTAAAGATAGTTCACACTTCGTGTATATTTGTTTATTTGACCGATCGATTATTTCCTATCAAAGTGTATAACGCAAATACTAATGCATAGGCTCTCGTTTTACCCTTTGAAGGCTGTTCGACTGCTTCTCGCGAATGGCACTTAACGGGCACAAAACTCGTTTGTAATACTATTCGCATTTCAAGGCGAAAGTGGTTAATGTGAGATAACTAAAAGCAACCCCACGAAGAGTTACATAAGAGTTCATATGTGCGACACTTTCAACATTTTAATTTTCGCTCGCAAATCACAAGTGAAATCTGATTCCATGATTGCAGGAATGATAATTTCCCGTATTACTCCTGTACGATAGGTAATTATAAGCAACCATTCTCTCTGATCTGTTTTAAAACTATAAGATTTACTTTTATGGTTTTTTTTTTTTTTCATATTTTAATGACGCATAACTAGTACTTGCAATGTCTTATTCATTCAACGATAAAACAGTAAAATCCGTTTCGAAGCATTGCTCGCGGCAGGTGGAAGGTATTTCCACCAAAAAACAACAGGGGTCGCTCACACGATTAACATGTTTAACTTTCTTTTAAAACAAACCATATGATAGCAATACGAAAAAAAGCATATCTCTGTACAGCGTTTCTAAAGTGTCCTTATTTAAGCAAAATGAACTGAAGTAACTGATCGAATTGGGGCGTAGAGTTGTCGGAACGTAACTATTTTTCAGCTCTAGATATTCGTTGCCCTATGTACCACCTGTCGATTCAAAAACCGCTACTAAATGAAAACAAACCCAGACCTGTCCATATATCTCCTCACAGAATACATCTTCAGTCTCAGTAAATAACAGTAAAACATGCCCTTATAAGCTCATACCATACTTTATTGATTTCCTAGAACATTAAGCTCTATTTAAGTTTTACTTGCCAATTTGCCGAAATCTGTGAAGTTCTCCTTCCTTTGTGCCCAAGGAAAGATAAGTCGATTACACTGTAAATAAGGTTATTTTTGTTGACTGTATTTAATTAAGAGGTTCCCAGCTAAGGAAAGTGCAGATTCTGAAAAAAGCCTCGTTAATGAGCCAGTTTATTTCTTTTCTTTTCTTTAATTCGGGTAATCAGCCAGGGAAGGGCTTAATTTGCTTTATTTCAAAGTATGTCTTGTATTAACGACGGTTTAACTGGCTTAACAGATATCCATTTAGTCTCGTTTTTAATTGGGAAAAATTCTAAACGACTAGGGCAACACTTACTTATGGCGTATTATTATAAAATTAATGATAACTATTAGTGCCGAAAAAATTTTCAGAGCGTAGTCTGGTTGTTTTGAATACTAAGAAAAATCGCTTCACGTCCCTTGAAACCACAAGAATGTCGCATACACCTGGATAATATATCATACAGATTTGTTGACCTATATGTGTGCTTCGTTGTATTAAAAACCGCGAAACGATTTCAAGAACTTAATATTCCATCAAAGGATTTCTTATCATGACTTATCAAAAACACCATAAACGGTTTCTTCTTTAAGTTGTTTGGTTTTTAACCCAGAAAGGACTTTTGCCGGATTACTTCATGATTAAGGTATAAATCCTTATTCCTAACTGAATATTTTTGAAACCCTACTTTTAGTGAAGATACTCATCTTTTAGCCCAAAAACATTGGCCAGTTTTGATTTTATTTTGTCGATACCATGTGTTGAGGTCACAAAGCACTGTGTAACTTAGCCTTATGGCCTCCCAGCACTGTGTAACCCCGCCGTATGGCCATTCCATGAATCTGACACCGGTCATTTCTCTTTTGTAGGAGACGAACCATGGTATAAGAAGGCCAGCTACTATTGGTCATTCAACTCCAAGCAGGAACGTGGTGTTGTAGACCAGCGACGCACCTCCAGTGTACCTGCCTACAGTAACAACGGTCTTCAATTGGACCATGATTTTGGAAGCTGGGCGGACCTGGGCAACTGTTCGAATCATTGTATCAAAGACCCGGATGCCTGTGACACTGGCTTCACAGTGTCGTTCTGGTTAAGGGTGAATGACTATCAAAGAAACAAAGTGATTATGCAAATAGCTTCGGCCACCAAGGCAGTTGGAACGAAGGTTGAACTTAATGGTGATTTCCTCGGCGTGCATGTAAATAGTCGCACCATTCAACGACACCTGCAAGTAAAATGGCCTTATTCTGGCTGGAATTTTGTGGCTTTTACGTGGAACAGGACAAAAAATGAGATCAATGTTTTGCTAAATAGCACTCCTGTTGCGTACGTCAAAAATATCGTTGAGCAAAGTTACGACTTTGCGTCGGTTCTTCCATACCACACGCTTATTCTGGGGGTGAACAACGCTCGGATTAGAAGTATAAGGATGACAATTGACGAGTTAGCACTTTGGAAAAGCCCCTTGTCGATAGAAGAGCTCCGCTATGTTATGAAGTCGAAGGCAGGTAAGTAGAACTCCTGACATATCTTTCTGATTGTCGTAAAATCGTACTTTTCGGATCCGTTCAAACGACCCAACACCATCCAAAATTTTTGAATAAAACATAGCGATCTCGATTACAACCTCGTCCCCAGGGCGTTTTTCCCTAGCTTTGAAGGTGGGGCGGAGAAAGCGCACTGGGGACAAGGTTGTCTCGAATAAACGTGTCGAGTATTTGCAGGGTAAGCATAAAAAGGGAAGGGAGGAGGAGAAAAACGCAAAGGAAAAAGAGTGGGTACCCTTTCCTCTCGTCCCAAACACCGTCATGTTTCTCTTCTTCTCTCACCCCTTTCTACGCCTGTCCCACAAGCTAGATGCTAAGCACTGTTGCATAGAGTCTACGCTCTCCAAACGCCCGTTTTGGTAGGGTCATCTGTCAGGAGGTAATCTGTTCTCGACTTATCGCAACCTCCTCGCTCAAAAACGTTAACTTAGGGTCAGGTCTAGATACATTCGAACCTCTAGGGGGAGGGTGCAGGGGGTGCGCACCCCCCCCCCCCACCCACACACACACACACACCCTGATATGACTTTCGCATTTCTAATACAAAACTGGTATTCTGCAATTGGAATGAAGTAACATGAGATACGGTTGAAGAATTTATGTTAAACGCCGTAAAAATGTTAGTTAAATTGGAAAATGGTAGTTCCTCAGTGGCGCACCCCCTCCTAAGAATCCTGGATCCGCCCGTGAACCCCCTCTACAAAGGTCACCATGGGGAAAGGGCTAAGTGGCAGTTGTAGACAGGTGACCGTTATATGTAAGGGAATTTCAAGTCCAAAAGAACTCTGGAATAATTTGTTATTTGCCTCAACTCTAAAGCGCACGTGCAGGGACATTGAGCCGCTGAAACAAAGGCGTTGTAACAACTGTCAACTGATAACATAAGAAAAATCATTATCTGAAAATTGATTTATTTTTGTCTAGTTGACGGTGGCTACACAAATTGGTCAGAGTTCAGCTCGTGCACAGTCTCCTGCGGCCAAGGTACGAAAACGAGGACCCGAAACTGCACTAATCCTTTTCCACAACATGGCGGTAATTATTGTCAGGGTAGATCTACCCAGTCGGTACCATGCTTTGTCAGGCATTGTCCTATTAACGGTAATTACACAGAATGGACGGAATTCACTTCTTGCTCGTTAACCTGCGGCGGAGGCAAACGAAATCGAAGTAGAACTTGTTTAAATCCTCGACCACAATATGGCGGTCTCAACTGCTCAAGCCTGGGTCCAGCTCAAGAGGGCGAAGATTGCAACACGCATGCGTGCCCTATAGACGGAGGCTACAGCGAATGGTCCACCTTTGGCGCATGTTCTGCTACATGCGGGAACGGTTTGAAGCGTCGCACCCGACTTTGTAATAGTCCACCTCCTCAATATGGCGGTATGGACTGTTCTATAATTGGCCCTGCTCAAGAAACACGTGTCTGCTTTATTAAATTGTGCCCCGTTGATGGTAACTATAGTAACTGGAGCTCATTTGGATCTTGCAGTAAAAGTTGCGGCGTTGGAGAGAAGAGTAGAACTCGAAAGTGCGACAATCCTGTCCCAGTAGGGGAGGGTAGGAATTGTTCACATATAGGTCCACCAATCGACATTCAACCTTGCAATACCCAACCATGCCCACGCAGCGGAGGGTACACCCCTTGGTCAGATTTTAGTCCCTGCACAGCCTCTTGCGGAGGTGGGACTCATTTTAGGAGGCGTAACTGCACGAACCCGCCACCGGCGGCTGGAGGCCGAGACTGCGTTCGTCTAGGACCCCCTGAGGAAACAAACTTGTGCAATACACATTCCTGCCCCGTGGATGGTGGGTACGGGGAGTGGTCACAGTTTAGTCAGTGTTCACGAACCTGTGGCGGCGGAGATAAGAAGAGATCGAGAAGCTGTAACAGTCCAGCTCCAGAGCATGGTGGAAGGAACTGTTCCGGTCTAGGACCAGCCCAAGAGACTCAATCCTGTAACAGCAACAAGTGTCCAGGTGAGCTTTATGATGCAGTTTCGTCGTAGGGGCCTAGAGAGAAAGTGTAGATAGGTGAGTGGTAAGGTAGGAAGGTAGGTAGGTAGTTAGGTAGGTAGGTAGGTAGGTAAGTACGTGGGTAGGTAGGAAGGTAGGTGGGTAGTTAGGTAGGAAGGTAGGTAGGTAGGTAGGTTGGTAGGTAGGTAAGTAGGTAGGTAGGTTGGTAGGAAGGTAAGTACGTAAGTAGGTAGGTAGGTAGGTAGGTAAGTAGGTAGGTTGGTAGGTAGGTAGGTAGGTAAGTTGTTAGTTAGGATGGTAGGTAGGTAGGTTGGTACGTAAGTAGGTAGGTAGGTAGATAGGTAAGTAGGTAGGTAGATAGGCTGATAGGTGGGTAGATGGGTAGGTAGGTTGGTAGGTAGGTAGGTAGGTAGGTAAGTAGGTAGGTAGGTAAGTAGGTAGGTTGGTAGGTTGGGTAGGGTTGATGATGGGGGGGGTGGTGGAATCTAACATTGCACGTTTGGTCATCCCTATACACCTGAAACAATAATTAAATGAGGGATGGATGAAAGAGTTGTTGCCCATTGCGTTGGTTAATTTCTTTGTGGTCATCCCTAAATGTGTTGCCCATGTTAGCGACACGTCGATTTACACGCCTTAAGATTTGGATATTAGTTTAGGTACATTAGCACTTTCTGTAAGAAATAATATGGTTTAAGGTTAACAGTTTAATCTAATATTTATAAAACTTTATCTGTTACAGGGATCAGCTTTTTGGCGCCCGTGATATTTCCAGAGGAGACCTTTAACACAGACCTTTGGAGCACGGAAAAGTCGTACGTTCGAATTACTGGCGGAAAAGATCAAGTACAACGTAAGCGACTTCTAATATTGTTCCTTAATTGATCGAATGGAGCCCCTAAGATACGCCTTTTCCATCGCAATGGTGGAGGTAATTTATCTGTAACTAAAGCCGTAAATTCGGGTGGAAGATTTCACACCTCAGAGAAAAGGTTAGGCTACAACGTAGGACAAAAGCGCCTTTTCCCATCTTTACCCGTAAAATCTTAAGGGTTAAAGGACAAAAAAAACAGTCCCTTTTTTGCGTATTCCGCGCGAGCAGTTTGGAACGAGGCTGAAAACAGAGAGCACTGATTTTGAGGAAAAAACCGACTGTTTTGCAGTCTAAAAGCCAAGAGATCATTCTGTCTTGTTAAAGCTTAATTAAAACCATTAACAGCAAAATGTGTTTTGATCAGAACTGCTATAGTTTGTGTTAAAAAGCTTTTTCTATTCCGGTTTATAAGTCCTCATCAGATATAGGCCCTTCCGTTTAAAAGCCCTGCTTGAAAACTTTTGTTTATGAATATTTCTCTTTGTGATTTTGCCTTCAATGTTTTAAAATCTAGTCCTTGAAACCATTTTAAAAGGTCCTTGACCATTTCTTAAACTTTCATTAAACATCAACTTTGACAGTTCATGGAGGCAATCGTAGCAGCTAAAGTGAACTCGATCTTATATAGGCCTGTTTCATCGCCTATTAATTACCTGAGTGTATCTCACTGTGATAGAATTAGTTAAACTACCTTAAACTGCAGCTTCTAAGCCCTGGGCTTGAACATCTCACGGTAAGGAGTCCTAGGAGGGCTTTTTACATCCATTGGGGTTTATACCCGGAATAGAAAATGCGATTTGAAACACGCTATGTACAAGTTAGAGGCGTGCTTATATCCAGGGGTCTTCAATAGTATGTATTTTTTTGTTTACAGATACATGGGCCTTTAAATGGAGGGCCTATAAATGGCGAGGGGGAGGGGGGGTTAATCAGCAGTTTACAGTATCAAAAACGAGAAGCACTGTTTCAAATAATATTCAAAAGCGGGTTGAAGAGACGAGCCATAGCTTTATTTTTAATCATTTCACTGCTTTCTAAAAAATCTCATTTTGTTTTCATTTTTTTTTCAGGTGCATAAGATATACGACAAAAACTCCGCCTTGGAATCAGTTAATGTTATCTGGTGTGGACCGACCGATAGTGGGTAGGAATAAAACTAACTTTGCACAATATTTACCTACATGGGCGTGTGGAAGAAAAACTTCGTTCCAAGGGTCTCTCTCCCTCTCGCTCCGTAGGGACGGGTAGGAGAGAACCCTGGGAAGGAGGTTGGTGGAAGACGAGGGCATATAATTGATTATAGTTTTATTAACTTTCAACCCTACTGGTACAAAATCAAACGTTAGACTGTGGAACATATGTTGAACAACGTTAGGGGTAGGGTTTTTTAACATAGTGATGGCGGTGGTGGTAATGATGATGATGATGATGATGATGACGACGCTGTTTTGTCATTATTAATATATCATTGTAGAACACTTACTTTAGTCCCTATGTCACACAGTGCTCCTGGTGTTCGGTGCGTACTTGGGTTTAGTTTTATGGCTGATCATTACGCCGGAATCATCCGTTTACAAGACGCTCTGTTTAAAGAAAAACTGCTTTACAGAATGCCTACCGAAGCTGAATATCTGACAACCAGTGATGGTTAGAGAAAATTCTTGCTCCTTTTTTGTGTGTAATGTATACCTTTATAGCCTTAGTTAAGACGTTCTTTTTCTTATTCGATGCTAGGAAGGATTTTCACTTGTGGATATTTAATTTATAAAAATCCGCGAGTGAGAACCTGCATTTTTCTACGTTATCCTAAACTCTACATGCCAATAAATTGCAGTTGGAGTGATAAGGCACCTATGACTTATCTTATTTACCCAAGCGTACAGAATTATTTTTTTTCTGCAGATTTTAGAAAATAAGAACCCGTTTCAAATTTCAGGCTAAACAGGTTCTTGTATAGGGGGTGCCTAACTGGCAAATTTCAGCCTGACGGGTTCTTAAAAACCGAGTTCTAACTCGTGAGTTTTTACTGTAGCACGAGATAGATGAGATCACTATTTGGTTCTAAACATGAGAGTTTTAGCTGAACAAGGTCTACAAACGAAGTTTGACGCTAATACTAACTCTGGTATTATTAAGTCCCCAGCGAAGCACCAAAAAACGTGACAGCTCACAACACCAGCTCACGAAGCATACAGGTCACGTGGTTAGAAGTCCGCCCGGATAGTGATATCGAGGGTGGAGACATTGCAGGGTATCGCCTTAATATGTACACCATTGGCAAAAAAAGGACTTGGAGTCGAGTGATACCTGGAAAGAATAGAACACTTTTCGAATTAAGAGGACTAAATGTTTACACCGAGTACTGCGTGCGAGTGATGGCTTATAACAGGCGAGGTGATGGTCTCGCTTCTGATCCTGTGTGTGCGTACACAGACACAGACGGTAAGTCGAGTGGTGAGCTGGACAGATTTAAATTTCATGTAACCTTCAATAACAGTTACCTGATGGAGGATTGGAACTGATGCTAATTTTTATGTGAGTTCGGAAAATTCGTTTCTGTCCTTCATAGGAAACCCGGGGTACTTACTATTTGAATGGCAAAACCGGATATTCCGGCTGGATAATCAAATGGTTCGCCTCATTCCGTTTGGGAAGGTTCAGAAAACATGGGTTGTGATTTGAGGCGATGTAAGTTTCTGTTCAGCTGATTTAGATATTCTTTGTATCGGGTCGGCCTTTCACCACCTCAAATTTTATAGTTTTATGTTAATGCACAAGATTTCCACCCGGGTGGTATTGGCGGATGCAGACCTTCAGATAAGGGGGGGGGGGTCATCCAACCCTGGGATAAGGGGGGAAGGGAAGGGGGCGCCCGTCTCCAAAAGATTTTTTCAGCCCTATGGGCCTCAGTTTGGTCTAAAAATAAGGGGGGCGTCGGGCCCCCCGGGCCCCCTTACCTGGATCCGCCACTTGGTGTAAGTAGTAAGCACCCCAGGGTTTTTAAGTATCCATAATGCCTTGTCCCTAAGCCTCAATACTGCGCTCGGCCGATGCCTTTTGGGTCACGTGGCCGTTCGTTTCCGATACGTCACCGAAATGCTTTGACCGAGAAGAACTGAGAACTGAACGCCTTGGAAGACGCCATACAGGGACTAGGCAAATAATCATCACTTTTAGTTTCTGAGAAACTGCCCACCTACCCCTCCCCTAACCCAACATTTTGCCCTAAGTGAGAAGTAATTGTTAATATTAGCTTAGGGGAGGGGTGGGTGGACGATTCCCCAGAAACCTAAGTTGATCCGAAACGAGATCAACAGAGAACATCATTAAAGCGACTTTGAGCAAAAAAAGGACTTGTTTGTTGTTTTGTAATTAACTTATTGCCGTCACTTTGTATTAAGCGTTTCACTGGAGCCAATTTCTCTTTTTCAGTCCCAGACCGCGCGCCTTCAAATGTGTCTGCGCGAAACCTGAGCGCTACAGAACTCCTGGTTGAGTGGAGGCCACTCCCAAAAGAGTCTTACCACAGTGTCCTACTTTCCTACCGTATTAATATTTCGACGAGTGAGATCAACTTTACAAGAATCATCAACGTTTCACCCAACATAACAAATCATCGCATCACAGGACTTGACACGTACACACGTTATGTCGTCAGCGTAGCAGCAGTGAATGACGTTGGCCAAGGAGTTTACAGCGATGACGTCATTGTCTGGACAGAGGAAGGCGGTAAGTTGATTTTTCTTATTTATCAAATTTGACCTTGCGTTGTGTTGGTCATTTGAGTTTTTTTATTTATTATTTTAAATTTTAAATGTCTTTGCGCTCTTGGTTGGTTATTTTTTCGTCCTAGCTACTTAAATTCCGTGCAGGAAATAAACAATAGGCTCCTTTTATTTCATCTCTAAGACTGAATGCTTTAATTTTAATTTTCTAGTTCCCAGCCACGCTCCAAACATCAGTGAGATATTTTACACAAGTTCAACGAGTATCCGAGTGACCTGGGAGCCACTGTCGCCACACTTTGTCCACGGACGGTTGCTAGGTTACCAAGTTGTTTATCGGCAAGTTGATGGAGAATACTGGGAAAAATGGAAGGCGATCACCACCGGAAACAAGGTGCTTGGTACAAGTATCACTGGTCTCAAGAAGTACGGAGCCTATGTAGTCCAAGTCGGAGCATTCACAAGAAAAGGGAATGGACTACTGTCTAAAGGATACATGCTCCGAACAGATGAGGATGGTACGCACTAAGGCAGGAGCCCATAATCCGGAGAAAGCAACTTCCTTGCGCTCGCGTCACGGTTTTTTCACGGAGTAGTTTATTTTTAGAACGGTTTAGGCGCGCTTTGTGAATATCTTTTAAATTCCACAAACCAGTCAGCAAAACCTACAGACCAAAAAATGATGCTTCCTAATAGCGTTTAGTTTTCCTTTTTGATATCTTATACTTAGAATGCGCTCATAGACATGGTGGAGATTCTATTTTCGCGGGAAAAAGTGCCCTAAAATGTATCTAAAAATAAACTGGTCCGTAAAAACGCCGTGACATAGGCCCAGTTGCTCACTCCGGGTTATGGGCTCCTGACTAAGGCTAGGCACACACGGCAACGGACGAATTTGCGACCAGTAGGAAATTCGTGCGTTTAGGTGTGACCAGGAGCCCATGGCTTGGGCTCCCTGTGTGACTGTTCACACGGAACTACCCTTACCGTACGAAAATTTACACGCCTAACCGTTCCAAAAGTTGAGGTCAAATTTTCGTCCGTACGCTTGGTGTGTGCATTAAGACGGTTAAAATTCTTGTACGACTAATTTTACCAGCGTGGTGTGAACACCATAACTGTTTAAAGTTTTGTACCACAAATTTGACCAGCGCGGTGAACACCACCACCATAACTGTATAAATTTTTGTACGGTTAAGGTGTGGCTGCATGTTTGCGTGGTAACTCAGCCGGGAGGAAACATTTTGGATTTGCGCTCTGCGCATGGGCAGATGATAAAACCACTGAGCAAAGCTGAGAAAAGTTCAAATTCAACGTGGTTTGCCAGTTCTGTATGAACAGAGTACAGTGAAAATACAGTGAAACCTTCGTTGTAGAGAAGTTGAAACAAGAGTGAATGTAGGGAATAAAACAAAACTATTTTGCCAGACCTAAAACATGTAGGTTCTTATACGCGGGTGTTTACTGTTTGTCGCGGGGTAAGCGTCTTGTTTGTTTTGCTATCCCCAGTTCCCTCAAAACCACCACAGAATGTGACTGTCGCCAAAGACAACTCTACCTCAACAAGCCTCTTCATTCACTGGCGCCCAGTCCCCGCGAACCATCAGAACGGTATTATCCTTGGGTATCGTATCATTTACAAAAAATCCGCCAAGGAAGACACTCTTAAAACAAAGAATGTTTCCGCGAGAACAACTACAACAGAACTGAAGAACTTGACCAAGTTTACGGAGTACAGCATCACTATCTTGGCATATACATCTAAGGGCAACGGTGTCCGAGCAAAATTTTTCACCGCTTCTACCACCGAAGACCGTAAGTACCTCATAAGTCTGCTTAGCAGCCGTTTTTGTCACGCATCGTGGCGTGACGAGACAAAAACGGCTGCGAGGGAGACTAAAGTATCTCATTAACGAAGTAAAAAATATATCAAGAGAAAAGTACTACCTGATATTTTTTGCTTGTTTTTGGGTGGTGACGCTAAATAGCGCCACAGGGAAGTACTCAGTGCTCTCAGTGCTCGGTCATCTTTAAATTGAATGGTCACACCAAGGATCACAAGTTTGAGCCACCTTGCACTGCATAGGATTGTAAACAGTACCAGATGAAAGTACTGCTTAGTAGCTTTTGTTTGAATGGTAACTCTTTAGGATTTCATTCACAGCCTCAAAAGTTAGAGCCACCTCGGATGGTAAATAGTACCAATGGAAACTACTACTCAGTAGCTTTCGTTTGAATGGTCACACTTTAGAATTTCATCCCCAGACTCAAAAGTTAAGACAACTCTGCACAGTATACTATAGATCACCATGGGAAAGTGCAGATCAGTAGCTCTTTTCTGCACAGTTCAAACCGTAGAATTTCGTCCACAGACTCGAAATGGACATCCCCCCTCAGGGTCCCTTGGAATTTCGCTCACCGGCATTCAGTAATCATAAGGTGAAGGTGAGGCTGATTTTTGTTATTATATTTGTCAGGACCAAGCAAGCCGCCGACATTAACCAAAGTCTTCAACACGAGTTCCACATCCATTCGAGTACACTGGAGCACTATACCACAGAAGTACACTCACGGGATTCTTGTTGGATTCGTTCTTTTGTATCGAGCCATGAATGAATCGCAAGACATGTACAGGGACGTTGAGGTGGGACCTGACAGAGACAACTTGGAGCTGACAGGACTTTGGAAATATACTAAATATGGAGTTCGAGTGCTGGGCTTCACCAGGGTGGGGTGGGGAGTTATTAGCCCGGAAGTTGCCGTGCAAACGGATGAGGATAGTAAGTAGACAAATGGGTGTGGTATCGTGACGCCCTCATATATCGTGACGCCCTCATATATCAGCTATTTCTTAGACAATTTTCCGTCCGATATTTTTATTAGATCGTCAAGATCCAACGCTTGCTGTAACGGTTGACCATCTTGGTTTCAAATATGCCGAGGGTAACCTTAGGTAGAGTGTCATATCAAGAGAGGATAAAGGGGACAGAGAAGGCATCTCCCATACACACCGTATTCCATAGGTAATTCGTCTCGAGTTATTTTTAACACCACAGATCTCAAGGGGGGTTAGACAACAGCCAATCACATAGCGCGAATGTGTTCCGCGTTGATGACCCACGCTCAGAGCCACGCGTCCTTCACGAATTGACGCAGAACAAAATGGCGGAAGACGCGGAGAGCGATATTGCTATTCGTTTTGTCGACGAAATCGACTACAGAGAGATTTCTGCTAAAGCTGTGTCAGCGAAACGGAAATTAAAAAAGAATCGCCCTTCCTCTCTTGTATAGAGCTAACAGTACAGCAGGGAAATCCTTAACACACTAAATATTCTCTCAGGATCATTTATAATTTACAGTTTGAAGAGAGCAATTTCTGGTTTGATATTTATTCTTTTAGTAGTCTTTTATTATTCAACAAAAATTTTACTTGGCGTCCTACTTGCTTTATTGTACAAACGACCGGTTTCAATAGACTGGCGAAATTTATCATTTTATTAAAGCACTGAGATTACGACAACTTCGAGTTAAACTGATTTCACGGGTTGTCAAAGAGTCTAGCGATTCCCTTTTCCCAGGTGAGCGCCGACTCATTTCGCGTCAATATTCAGGAATAATCTCGATCTCTTTACGCTTTCATTGCCTTTCGCCCGACATGTTTTGCACGGCGTTTAGTCATGCGAAACCTCCACAAAACATCCACGCAGCGCGCGAGGTAACTTTATCCCGATTCTAAAAAAAAACTCGAGACGAATTACCTATGGAATAGTGTATGCATGGGGAATGCCTTCTCTGTCCCCTTTATCCTCTCTTGGTCAGATCTATGTTCCTCACCCCTACCCCCTCGATTTGTCCTCTCGATATATCTGACACCAAGAACTCCAAGATGGCTGCCTATTTTAGCAAGTGCTCAACGATTTTAAGGGAAGTCTGAGCGAAGTTTTGAGGTCTGTTAGCTATTTCTGTACACAGCGCTGTAAAAGAGGGATTTCAAATCGTTTATTCTGTTTTAGGGTACAGAAATAAAAGAGTTTTGGAGTAGAATAAACACATTACTGTGCGCGCGCGCTAATTAGTATTGAGGAGTAAACCCCCTTTCAGAATAGGAAGCTTAGGCAAAGATGTTTTCGAGAGACGTGCGTCAACCGGAAGTGGACTTTTTGCATTCTTGGGCTGTGATAAAGATACTTAAAAGTACCAATCTGGTTATAGAACAGGCATATTTGACTGCCTCGTTTAAAAAATGTTATTAAAAAAAGAACTTAGGCCTAGCCTTAACACTCAGAGTGACCCCATTAGTGCTGAACTCTTCGTTTAACGTGCGGTGTAACGTATTTTTGTATGTTACTTTTCTTTTAAATGAACTATTGTTTTCCTTGTATTTATAGAACATTCATACTTGACGTCCCAAAACGTCGAAACGTCGTACATTTTTTAACTTTTTTAAAATTTCTTTAAATGTTTTTAAGGATAGTTTTTACGCATCTCTTATAACGAAAGGCATATTAAAGGGGAAAAAGGCTTCAATTGCGGTCGACGTTCCTCGCTCAAAAACACCTTTGCTTAAGTTTCCTAATCTAAAGGTCTTTACTGCTAAGCAAACAAATACTATCTTTTGATTGCTTACAGCTCCGGGAATGCCCCCGGAAAATGCTTACGCCGCCAACAAGTCAACTCCCACCACGATACCAGTCACGTGGCAACCAATCAGCAACCAGTATTTTGTGCACGGGATTCTTAGAGGTTATACAGTGACATACAGAGCCATCAGTAATCCAAACCAGCGGCTAGACGAGAAGGAAAGAAACATTACAGTCGGACCCAACGCTACTTCCGTTGTGCTGAATAAATTGTCCTCCTTTACGATTTACAGCATTGAGGTTCGTGCGTTCACGGTCAAAGGAAACGGCATTCCATCTCAAGTAATATTTGCCGGTAACGAATTCGTTTTTGGGTTTTCGTTTGAAAAGCAGTTACTTTGGCAAGCGTAAAACGGGGATAGTGAAGGCGGGGCGGGGTGGGGGGGAGGTGGGGGAGTAGTTCAAAAATACCAGAAGGAAAAGGGAGTGGAGAACTGAAACGAGGTTGCCTGTAATTAAGATCTCCTTCCCTTGTTGATTTTTCTATCTTTTTCTTCTTCGCATTCTTGCACTCCCTTCCCTGGTCCTCTTTGATGCTGCATTGGGTAGAAAGCACTTAAAAAACACCCCCACTAGAAAAACGATCTGACAGTATGTCGTTGTGGTCTGGGCATGGAGCGTGGCGATATCAAAAAAGGGTTTCAATCATGCGAAAAAGCCAGGCAGAAAAAATACCATTTATTTTCTGTTAGGCAACGATTTCTAAAATTTTTCTCTTCACGGTTTCTAATAAATATGGTGCTTAAAAGACTCTGAATTTTCTCTGCCATTTAAGAGTAATAAAAAATAACGGAGTATATACAAAAATATCAAGTTTGTATTGATTGTATTAATTTTACGCTTTTTTGATGTTTACAGAGACGTGCAACTGCTACAGCAGGATTTTCACGAACTACTGGCTTAACCCTCCATATATGGACATAAACAGTGACGGCAACCAGACCGGTATTTTCCCGCCAATTTTGCGGCTGCTAGTGCGCAGCTGCTGCGGAGAGTGTGCAGCACATGGCTACACGGAGATTGACTTCCGCTCTTCGGGTGACAAAGATTCGGCCAGAAAGAGCACAGAAAAGGAAGTCAGGGAAGACATTGACGACGCGATAGAATTAAGTTTCCCCGTGTACGGAAGGATGGATCAAACGGAGTACTCTAAAGAGTATGGCTTTGCACCTTTGGTGCAATCCGCTGGCGTGGCTTTTATTGTGGGCGTCGATGAACCAGGCAGGGCTGCTAAGATGGTAGTGAAAGCCGTGTTCAATCTGTGGCCTTTGATTATTACCGTGTTTATATCTGCGTTCTTCTCTGGAATCGTCATGTGGAGCTTGGTAAGTCTGACGGTATTCAAATTGTCAAAATTGTCAAATTTATTGTCAGAGCGCCACTTGCAAGCATATGTTTTCTAGGAATTACGAAAAAATTAATATGTGAGTGAAGGCTTAGTCTTTTGAATTTTCATTTTCGCAGGACTTCGTGTTTAACGCGAATGAGTTCCCAGCCTCGCCAATACGGGGACCAATTGAAGGAATGTGGTGGGCGTTTGTCACCATGACAACGCTGGGGTAAGTGCGGTTGTAACATGGTCTCATGTTCAAAGCGCTTACCTTCTAACTAGTACCGTACTGAATTTTAGAGCGTCATTATTATCATTTCTGGGCAACATAATCTATGATTTTTAGCAAAATTAAAGGATTTATCTTTTTCAAGTGATATCTTATACGTTTAGCGCCATATCTCTATAGAATTAAAACACAATTCCTAGGTCATCAATCGAAAGCAAGCCAAATTCCATTCGCTTAACGCGAGTCGAGTTTTCCAGCGCTAACTGCACTGGTTTAGTTTTTCCTCGCTTGGCACGGGTTAGGGTTCCCGAGCTCTTGGTTAAGTGGGTTGAGTTCGGTTTTTTCATCGTTTGCTACCGGTTTTAAAATTTCCAAGTTTGACATAAGTTTTCCTGCTATTAACACCGATTACACATTATTGCTTCAATACTGACGTCAGTTCGTTCACGGAGTAATTATACTACAACTCTTTTGGCTTAGAAGCTTTGTTTCCTCGAACTCATTGCTTTCCATTTAAAATACAGTCAATATTCCTTTGTTTGTCAGGTATGGAGACCGCGTGCCACGTGCGATACACTCAAAGTTGTTTGGCATTGTGTGGATCACGTGTGGGCTGGTCATCATAGCGCTTGTGATGTCATTTATCACTACGTCACTGACCATGGATATTATCAAATCCGATATTCCTGTATATGGCTCAAAGGTAAGCTAACAAGCTGTAAAATTCATGCGACCAAGAACGGCTTTGCTAGAATTTCGTCTTCCGATGAAGAAGGAAACAATACCACCGGCTTTTGGTGATAGGCGTCTCAGAAAGACGTTTTGAGAGTTTGGGAAAATCGGTGTTGGTGTAACTCACTAACGTATAATAAGCCTTCCCTTGTAGCCAGCAAAACGATATCACGGCAATAAGCGCTTTGTACTGAGTTATCTTGCTTCTTTTTCCTATCTTTGTTTGAAAGGTTGCTGCTATTAGTGATTCAGCGGAATATCGTCTCGGAATTCGAATGAACGCCAAGATGAGTCAAGGCAAGTGTTTTTCTAGTAAGGGACGAGACTCGCCCCAGTATTTCGAAGATCTATTATGACGGGCTGTCCCTGGGTTACATTTTAATCCGGCTTCATGCTACTTTTTTTAAAAGCGTTTTCTTGGGTCTTTTTAGCTCGTCATGCATTTTAGAACGTCCAAGCATCAAATTGTAGGCCAAAAAAATCAACAGAAATTTGCTTCGTGAGCGTCCAGATTTGAAGACAAATTTCGCGCTAATCGAGGTTTTATGTTAATCCTTTTTTGAACAACGAGGGCTTGGTATTTGACTTGCCTGGTCTCTGTACGGCGTTTTCCCAGGCGCTCTCGGTCAATTCACTTCGGTAACGTATCCGAGGCGAACGGGCGGGAAACATCTTCGCTTGGACCACGTGACCCAAAACGCTTTGGCCGCGGAAAATGATGAGGCCTAGGGACTACGCAAGTATTTGACTAAGTCTAAGAGCTTTAGACTTGGATGATACCTGGATGCAACATGCACGTGTCCCTTGATTCTCTCTATTTTCTGGTCCGAAAAACGGAGGTTTTGGCGAGTTAACTGGCTAGACGTTTTTATGTCTTTCTCGAACTTAGACCTAAAGCGAAGGGTCTTAATCCTTCTTCACAGCATAAGTAAAACATTTATTTAACGACGCTAAACTCAGCTATTTCTACACAACAACGGATAGTTTTTCGTGCGTGCAGGAATGAAAAACTAACCGGTATAGTATGAACGTCATGTAACAGCACAGAACTGGAACAACTCGTTCAGACACATCAAACATGATATCGGAGTGGTTGTCTTTACTTCTGATTGGTTACTTCCGTCTTGGTGGGTTTCAGTCGCTGTAACTCACTTACTTCCGCTACGGTCCGAATACCTCTTCACACTACGACTAAGAGCGGCACTGAGAAACCGATCCGATATGGGACGAACTATTTTCAAGATCGGCGCAGTGTGGCACAGCTTCGCTTTGTTACAGAATTCACGCCAAAATCACTGCTCGTGTGTGTGAACAAAAGCCCTATCGGTATGGTTTTCGCGCCGGCGCAAAAGACATCCGGTATAGTGTGAACAAGGCCTTAGGTAAAGTTAGCAAGGAATTTTCAAACAAAGTATGTTAGTGTGTGGCATACAATCTCTCCCAGGGCACTTTTCCATTCAAACGTGGGACGCGGTGGGGGGCGGGGGGGGAACATGTGACCGACTGACGCCAGGGCCTTTTCCCACCCCTCCCATGTACGTGAATGGAAAAGTGCGCTGGGGGCGAGATGATTGCCTGGCATTTACAAAGAGTCGCCTCAAATGGCATTCTAAAATTAACACTTGTTGTTACACAGGGTACACCACTCTTAAGGACCTGCATGCAACTTTGACGAACTTGCAGGTGGATGGAATTCTCATCGATTCATACACTGTAGGAAGGTTTCTGGGAAACTGCCTACCTACCCCTCCCCTAACCCAGTATTAACACTCACTTCTCACTCAGGGCAAAATGTTGGCTTAGGGGAGGGGTAGGTAGGCAGTTTCCCTGAAACCTAAATTGATCCAAAACGTCTTGTTACACAGGGTACACTACTCTTAAGGACTTGCATACGGCTTTGACTAACCGGCATGTGGACGGAATTCTCATCGATTCGTACACTGTAGGAAGTCGGAAGGACTTGTTTAGCGATGGCCTTTCTCGCGTGAGCAAGATGATCGATTATTCTTCTGCGTACGGCATAGTGATGGCAGGTTACGCCAAAAAGCTTCAAAAGTGCTTCCGTGGATTTCTAAAGGAAGAGAAGGCTGTAGTGTTTGAAATCATCACCAGTAACGTCCAAGGAATTACAGTAAGTTAGCAAGTGCTGTGTAGGCATCTCCATTGCAATCAGCTATTTCAAAAAAAGTTGACATCTGCAAAGCGCTATAGGTAATACCAATACTGCAAGGGACTTTGTGTACACTGATTATGATTTCAGTTTTAAAAGCAGGACGTACTTGCTATAAATATAGTTTGTTTACCTTTGACATGGGCAAACCAGTCAGTCCACGGTTTGGGCAAATGACACTCAAAATTCAGGACTAGGAAATTTCGCCCCGGAATCGCGTTTACCACTTGCACAAATCAGTTCAAAAAATGACCGCGAAGGCCTGAAACTGGTATCAAAGATTGCTTTGAAGAAATCGAACACAAATTTCCGTTTGGAATATTCCGTCCGGAAAAACAGGACTACCTTTCCAGATGTTCCGTTGCTCCCGGAAATTTTCCGCTGGAACGACCCTAAAGGCGTGTTCCATCTACTTTCCAACCGATTTTCTGGAAACTCTTTTTCAATGGTAAACAACCTTGATGTTGAGAAAAATGGGGTTATTTGGAAGGATAACAACAGGGAGCGCGATACTGCACAATGCTCCGCGTTTCGCCAGGGTAGAGGATCTCAAACAGTAACTCCCGGAGAAATGGCGCGCCAGCGAAGATCGTTATTGTAAGATCTTGGCATCATAAACAGTTTTCCTGCATTTGTTTAATGCCACGGTAAAATGAAAATATTGAGTTCCTCTAATAATCCCATAATTCTGTTGGGTAACAGTATTGCCTATTGTACTTAACTGATGTCGACCAATAGGACAATTATACGATGACGTCACTTTACTTCAACTACCAGAACGCTTCAGTGTGTTCTTCAGTCTTGTGCAAATAAGGGCTATTGGTCTTTAATCCTCAGCGGAAATGCTAGCCTGCGAACAGCAGACGCATTTCCGGTCGTCGCTTCTTTCGACGACCGGAAATGCGTCTGCTGTTCGCAGGCTACGGAAATGCCAGATTTGAACAAGAACGCAAAGACAAAATGTATTCTGGTAGTTGTAGTCAAATGTCTTGATCGTGAAAATGGCCAATTAGCTTATTAGCTCTATTGCTTATTCTTCAGGGACTACAAAAGGATAATGCCGCTTCTAAGACAGAGGGTCTGTTCGATGCAGAGTCCACAGCGTACATAAAGAGCGTAACGTACTGCGGAATATCTATAGCTGTACTTGTGTTTATCTTCCTGATCTATGAGATAGTCACGAGGAAAAAACGCAACCCTAACGCGAAAAGATACGGTAAGACTTTATTCTAGTTAAGCGTATACTTGGGCGTCGCTGGGTACTCTAGGCGCTTTCCAGAAGTCAGAATTGGCCGGTGGGACCTATCTTTTTGAAAATGAAATATATGTATTTTTTCGAAACTTTTGATAAAACCATCACTGCCGTGCATGCCATTTTGAAATAAACTGAGATGGCTGGATAGTCCTGATTAATAGTGGAATTCTCCCGCCGAGGACAACTGGACTGGTCTGGTAAGCCAGTTCTGACAAATGGTATGCGCCCTCAGAGCCTTAATTCATTCACAAACTTGGGTGCACTGAGTATGGCATTCTGCTTGTATAGGACACTGTTCATACGTTTTGAGTGAAAAAGATTTTTGTCAATTTGAAGTAGCCTCTTAGCTGGAATGCAACTGCAACACAATTTTCATCATTAAGCTACAAGATGAAAGTTGCGTGTGACTTTTCGGTGTTCAAAGCAGTTAGTGAAAAAATTGAAATAACGTTTCGGTCCGGCGGATTTATTATTAGGAAGCTATGCAGAGGCGGTTTTGAGCAAGGCACGTCAATTGGAACTGTGGCTTTTCCTTTTTTATATGCCTCGACGCTTCCAATGTTGTATTGTTTAGTGTCTTTACTCTTATAGAGACGATTACCCCGAAAATTGAGGCAAAAGTGTCCAAGAATGCAAAACGTCTACTTTCGGTGGACTTGCGTCGCTCAGAAACGCTTCTTTCTTATGCTCCCTGGTTAGTCTGTCCAAGCAGCAACATGTGTGATTGTCTTGATTTCCTTCGATTTTGAATATCTTTTCAACAATATTTCTGTCTCTTTTCAAATCTGCAGAATATAGTGACTACCTCCAGGATCTCCGCAAAGAAGACCGCTTATACGAGTACAATAACACAAAGGATGCTATGAAGAAAATCCTATCAGATTTCTACAAAAATTGTCGCCTTCGGATCGAACATTTAAAAGCTAAACATCGACGAGAACTGCGGCTCTTGGCCCGATTAAAACAAGAGGCCTCGGAAAAAGGAGAAATAGCCCCAACAAATGGAAGCTTTCGCAAAATAAGCCGGGGTGTTTTCGGGTTTACACCTCGATATAGTAGCATAGTACAGGTAAATGGCTTTTCTCATTAACCCTTTAAACTCTAATATCAAAATTCAGCTTCTCATTTGTTACCCTCATAGGTTTCCTATGAAAGTAGTGGAGAGAAGTTGTTGAAGTATCAGTACGAATTATCTTCTGTGACCATGTCCTCAATTCTCATGACCACTCTGTTTTATAAAGCATTGATCTTTCAGGGAGAAATTTGATACTGATCAGTCTCAAAGGGTTATCGAGAAAACGTCAGACCCGGGAACCCGAGCGGAAGTCGGGGAGGAGAGTCCGTCCCCGACGGGGCCATTGCACATACCAACTTGCCAAAATGGTTTGTTTTTTGCTTACATAAAAGATGAAAAAGGTAAAGATCCTTATTTTGTTTTGGCAAAGGCTCTAAAAATACAATCTAATCTCAGATTAAGCCTAGCCAATAAGCCATCGAGTTGTAAATGAGCAAGTTCGTAACAAAAGGGCATAAATCTGCAATGAATCCTCAGTATCATCAATAAAAACAAAATCTTTGCATGAACGACTCGTAAAGTTGTTAAAAACGCCTCGATGCATCATTCCTTACCAAGGATCCCAAATTTAAGTCTGAGAAGAGACAATCCGTTTGAACTAACACTAAAGTGATAGGCCAGAATTAGGTGGACAGCAAGTCAAATTCTCTGTAAATATCCTTTTCTTTCTTGTAACCACATATACTGTTTCACAAAAATACGACAAAACAAGATTATCCCGTACGAGTTGGTCTGGATGGCAGACGTACTTGAGCTGCATACGAGGTAAAATATACTGCCTCCATATTATCCGCTTTCAAGCTTGATATTGGTTTACTTCTTTCCATGTTTTAATTTGAACTCTTTGGCCTGCGAGCAAGCTCTCGCTCTAATATTACTCAGATGCCCTTTAATTCAAGCAGAATATGAATAAGTAGATATATATAAGAAGAGACTTCACGAATAAAATCAGTGTTACTGGTGATAATGCTAAATTAGCCCACAAATGAAAATCGTTCTCATTTTCAATCTTGCACTGCAGATAATTAATGTCAGTATAAATCGCCCTAGACTGCATTCAAGGAACAAAATGAAACAATTACGACAATTAGGAATACTTTTGTACAGAAGCATTAGGTAGTAACGAAGGTCCTTGACAGTGTAGTAGGTAGTAGTTTACAATTCTGAATTCAATTCAGTTAATGTACGTGTGGTAACGGGAAATGCTTGAAGTGCAGACCTGGATAGCCTATTTTGATTTTGTGCGTGAAACATAAACGTTAAACCTTGTTCTACGGGCAGTCTCTGGGAACGAGGTTGATATATGTTATTAGGGAGCTTTTACGCTGAAAAGCAAAGGCGTTTTCCAGCGACGCAAGTCAACCGGAAGTAAGGTATTTTTCATTTTGAAGCACCTTGATGCTACCAAATTTGTATTTCTGTTTGTCTTTATTATTATAGAGACGATTTTTTCAAAACTTTGGGCAAAATCACCGTCCAAAAAGGAAAAAAAGACCACTTCTGGTTGACATGGGTCGCTTCAAAACGTCTTTGCTTAATCTCATTATTCACCAAGCTTGAGGTTAAGGTGACTGGATATTGGTCTTATTCTTATTTGCGTTTTTATAGACCGAGACGAAGTCAGTTGGAGGCCAATAAAAAACAAGAAAAATAGACTCTTCACAGTCCCCTATTTTTCCGTAAAACCGTCGAGAAAGAGCGCTTTTCGTTACGGCCCGCCATCTTGGTTTCGATGGCCCGACTCCTCGCCACATATGAAACCAAGATGGCGCCCCGTAGCAAAAAGCGCTCGATGTCGACGGTCTTACATAAAAATACGGGACTTTCAGTCGACAAGAAAAAGAACGACGCCAATATTCAGCCAGCAAGACCAAACAAGCCGGTGGGAACTAATAGATTTATTATGTGGCCGAAAAGAGGACTTTTTCTTGCGTGGGCAACGCGGGAAATCGCGTGCGGGAAAGATGGGCCAAGAACAATACGAAACAACGCCAACCCTCTTTCCAACGCAAAACTGCCAATATGGAATTGTCACGTCAACTTGAACTTGCTTTGCTCAGGAAATTTCTCAGTTGAAGTCACGTTGAAAACGTAAATCGCAGACTTGAAAAGTAGAACGTTCGTGAAATTATATTGGTGAAAGGTTGACAAGTAATATAACAAAGATTTTATGAGTTTAATAGGTGTTATACATAAACTTATATTAGAAGTAATGACTAATGAAACGATATGAAAGCATATAGTATACAAGTTGTACAGATGTTTAATGAAATAAACTGCTGGTCAGAAATATTTGCAGGGATGTCATTTTTGGAACGCGGAAAGGAGCAGAGCATAACATAGCAAAAGTAACGTATTCTAATAAGGAGCTGCCCATCTATTTTCTTTAGTCCACATTTGTTTTCTTTGACTTTCTTGATATATTTCTCAAAAAGCATTTTGTCTGGCTTGTTTAGAAGAAAAGAGAAGGAAATTTATTCCTTTCGAACTAACCTGGTGTTGCTAACATCAGTTTTTTTTGTCAAATTTTGCGCTAGGCTGTCATCGTTTTGGATTCAATTCTGTTATTTGTGTAAAACCTGTAGCCTCTTTATCAGTACTGCAGCGCTCACGGCGGTCTTGATGGATCATCATTCCCCGCAGCACTTTCGTTATCATCATCATAATCAT